AGAAATATGCAATCATCATCACCATTCTTCACAACATGAAAGACTTGAGCACCATGACTCCGGCCATAGTCATTGGCAAGATAGTGGCATTTAAAATGTCATGAAAGATGGGTCAAGAAGAAGCCTCTTCATCAAGCAAAGGCAAAGCTCTCGCATGTAGTGAGAAAAAGAAGATGAAGGGCAAAAAAGTTGAGACAAGCTCAAGCTCAAGCTCCTCAAGTAAAGATGAAGAAGAAGATGAGGATGATGATGATGAAGATTCAAGTGATGATGATCAATCTTCCTCCTCCACCTTCGACCTTGATGAAGAATCAATCAAACTTATCAACAAGGTGGATAAGATTATTCAAAGGCTCAATGTCAAGGGTGTGCCCATCCAAATTTAAGATTTCATCTTCACCAATCAAAGAAATGAGCAAAGAAAGAAAGGATGTTATGGATACGGCGAGTTGGGGCACTTTGTGGAAGATTGTCCAAACAAGCCCACACCCAAGACAAAAAAGAAGGCATGTAAGGACAAAACCCTCACATTAATAAGGTCATGGGATGATTCTTTAAGTGAAGAAAAAGACCATCACAAGAGACGAGGCCACAAGCACTCATCATCAAGCTTTTCTCGTGTGTGCCTTATGGCACGAGGTAACGAAAGCTCATCCTCTAGTGAGAGTGAGAGTGATGATGAAATGCCTTCTCTTAATGAACTTGTGCAAGAAAATCTTAAATATACTAAGGCTTGCACTAGCCAATAAAAGAAGCTAAAAATGTTGCAAGAAAAGCTAGATAGTTCACAAGAAGCATATAAAACCTTGCTTGAATAATATGAGACATTTGCTAATCTCAATATTGAACTATCTACTAAAATTGAGCAACTTGAGGCTAGTGCAACAACAAATGCATGCACAATCAATGATGAGCAACTTGTAAAGAAAAATAAAAAATTAAAAGAAAAGTTAGTTAGCTCACAAGATGCTTATAAAAGTTTGCTTGCTAAAATGGAAACCATGTGCAAACATTGTGATGAGCTAACTAATAAAGTTGCTAATCTTGAAGCCATCGGTATAACCCCCACCAAGGCACCTAAAAAGAAAAGTTTTATATTTGACGTGACTAAAAAGGATGCCTCTACTTCTTGCATTGATTATGTTTAGACTCACTCTTGTGCAACCAAGTTTGTATTGAGAAAGTTGTTGTAGATACATGCACATAAGAGGTTGCAATAGAGAGTGAGCAACTCAAGCAAGAAGTGGCTCGCCTTACCAAGGACTTAACTCAAGTAAAAGGCAAAACGGAGCAAGCCCAACTTTATCAAGATAACACCATCAAGGGAGTGAAGAAGCTTGATGAAGGACAAACCATAGTTTGCTACGTGTGCCACAAGAAAGGTCACAAGTCCTATGAGTACAAGGTGAAGAATGGGGGAGGAACTAAGAAGAAAGAGAAAAAGAAAAAGGAAACAAGCAAACTCTCCAACACCTACATCAACAAGGTGGACAAAAAGGTCTCCGCACCTTATCTCTTGAAGAAGAAGAAAAATGATAAGGTGGTGGCCATCAAGGTGAACAAGCAAGTTAATACTGGGGTCAAACGCTTTTGGATGCCAAAGGAGATCATTTCTAATATGAAGAGCATCAAGAAGGTTTGGATCCCGAAAGGGAAGTGAGATGTCCGATGGACTTTAGAGAATTTGGAGACTTGGCAAAGTACAGGTGCATTTCATGGGATGCATCATATTGGATCATGTCAATTGCCAAGTGGGTTAGTGAATACTATGGACCCAAATTTCTCTTCCCATGTTAGGTAACTAGATTTAATTTCTTGTAATTTCAATAAGCATCTAGTTTCTTTTCATGCCTAGGTTTGTATTTGCATGCTTAAATCCTTTGTCATGCATACACTAGGTATATCTTATGGTAGGCTTGCTCGGTTTCACTCTTAACCCTTGGAGCAAACCTACATGGTTTAAATTGTTTAGGAGCACAACACATAGCTTGTTTTACAATTGTTCATCTAATATGTGCTAAAGTCCAAATTATAGATAATTTCTCCTGAATATTACTTTCGAAAATGATTCTCACATTCATGTGATGTCATCTTTCAAGGGGTATTTTTTATTCTAAAATCAATGTGCATGTCTCCTACAAGTATTCCATGCTTGCGTGCATAAATTTAGGGGGAGGTTACTCTACAAGTTGGATGCTTTGAGACTAACACCTTTTCTAGCTTATCATGTGTGCAGTAGTCTTATTGCAAGGAAAATAGAGTCCCCAGAGTTAAGCATCATACTTCAAATATCCACCACCTATTGCAAGTGGTATAAATCAAATTGGTTTTCACATGTGGTATTTCTAAACCGATATCATCATGTTGATTTCACTTTGGTGTTTATATGCTTTCTCCATGCATTATATAGATTAAACTCCCTTGAGCATTAATTTATGAATTATGCATAAACTATATTTTTCATCATATGTATGCATATATTTAGGGGAGCTTAGTCTATGTAATGTGAGAGTCAAATTTTATGACCTATTCCACTCCACATACAAAGGATCACAAAGTTTGACCCTCCCTTGTGCTACTAATGTCTTCCTTTTCGTTGTTTGATTACAAAGGGGGGGAAATTTGTAGGACCAAAAGCAATCCCGATCATAACAATTTATAAGTGGTAATGGTCCGAGAAAGGGAGGATAGTGGATTATGGAGTTAGGGGAGGCTTAAATCCATAATGCCACATGGGGACATTTGCAAGGGCAAGATAAGTTTCCAAAGATGTTTACATATGATATCTTTTAGCATCATATAACCTTACCCTTTGCATTGCATCCTAGCAAGTAAATAGTTTTTAAATTCTAAAATTTTTATTATTTGCTTGTTTTGGTCGTGTTGTCATCAATCACCAAAAAGGGGGAGATTGTAAGGAAAATAGACCCTAGGCCCATTTACTTTAGATTTTAGTGTTTGATGACCAACACAACCAAATTGAACTAATGAATTTGCAAGTGATTGTTTTATAGTTAAATAGGGTGCAAGACGTGACTTGGACGAAGGCGACATGATGATATGATGATCAACACCATAAGCAAGACCCTAGAAGCATAAGAGAAGACCCAAGATATCAAGCAAAGTTCAAGCACAAAGATAGGAACCAAGCCGGACGTAAGATCACGAAGAAATGAGCTTCACAGAGGTGACCGAACGCGGTCCTTATAGCGACCGGACACGTCCGATCAAGATGCTCAGCAACAGCAGGCGTCAGCAGCAGCGACCAGACGCTGAGGACTTTAATTGACCGGACGCGACGATGACACTGTTCACTGTCGCGACAATAGCTCAGTGCTGACTGGACGCTGGAGGGTGATTGATCGGACACAGGAACTGCAGCATTCGATCGAGTCCAGAGGGGTTCCAGAGCGGCGACAACGCGACCGGACGCGTCTGATCAACAGTGACCGGACTCGGCAGTGCGTCCGATCAATGCGCGCGCTCCAACGGTCGAGACGACCTAACCCGTCCGGTCAGGACGACACCAGCGTCCGATCAGTAGCAGAAAGCTAGGTTTCGCCCCCAACGGCTACTTTCTCGGTGGAGCTTATAAATAGACCCCCCAATCGGCCATTTGAGAAGTGTAGAGTTGAAAAAACATACCAAGGGTGTTAATACACTATTTTAGTGATCTCCACTTGCATAGTGCCAGTGATTCATTAAGTGATTAGCGTAGGTGCTTTGCGAAGTGCTTAGGTTGATTAGACCACCGCTTATGCGTTTGCTTTAGGTTTAGGCCTAGTATTTAGTGAGGTTTGCATACCTCTTACCACTCTTGCGCACACCATTGTTGTACATCGGAGGGGCTTGTAGTCTTACGAGATCACATCAACCGCGTTTGTGGTGTGGCCGCCACCGTGTACCGAAGAGAACTAAGACCCGCAGCGTTTCGGCCGAAAGCTCGATAGTGAAGACGGCGGGAAGAATCCGAGAGAGGCTTGCCGGAAGGAACGTAGAAGACACACTTGCACGTGAGGAAGGCCCGAGGTTATCCACGGAGTTACCCGACCGGGAGCTTGACCCTTGCGAGAGATTCCTTGAGAAGGGTTCCAACGAGAACTAGAGGAAAGCTTGTGCGCTTCTCGATACCTCGGTAAAAATACCAGAATCGCTAACAAGAGTTTGCATATCTCTACCTTACTCTTTAACTTCTACATTTACATTGTTTGCATAACTCCTTTTACGATAGAGATAGCAACACATTAGCAAAATCATAGTTGCACATTTAGATAGTTTATCTTTTTGCATAGATTTTGCTATGGTTAGAAAAAGAAATCATAGTTTAAAGTTAGAGTTTTAAGTTGCCTAATTCAAACCCCCCTCTCTTTTAGGCGTCACGGTCCCCTTTCACGGTCTAAAACCAATTACTGACAAACCACATCTGCACTCAAGAGGAAACAAATCCTCTGCAGTACAGCAGAGAAGACTCATCCCACACAAGAACCATTCACAGGCAAACGGGCCAAGTAAGATATGCAAGCTAATGATCCTCTCACTGCCCAAAGTCGGTTAGTAAATAGTAACACCATGTCAGGTTCTATACAAAAAATCAATACAAAGCCTTGACCCCCAGCTTACAAGTTACAAGTTACAACGCTCGAATCTGTCACAAACTCCCAGTCCTGGTTGCTTTTACATGATTCATTGAGAGCACAAGCGTAAGCTAAACTATTTGGCGACTCCTCGAGCAAGTAAAAAGAATCGGTGCACCACAGGAATTACAACGACTGCCTCATACGCCCCATATTATAGGATACAAGCACATATGCTACATTTCGAATATCTGAAACTGTGAGTGTAACTGCCATGGTATGGAACCTGAGTGAAAATGCAAGGCCGCCATGCTGGTGACACGGGCAAAATTGATTCAAAACCTATATACCTCCATGCCACCAACCACCATGAGGGTTCCCTCAATAAATATAGCTATCAGTGAGACCAATTTCTGAGCACGTCACTCAGTGAGGGCTCCCGTTTGTGTAGAAACCATCTGGGTTATGTGCCTCCATTTCAGCAAGCATCACGGACTTTGCCCTCTGGTACCTATTCCTTTTTGCTGATATTGCCGATATGGCTGTAGTCAGAATTTAGTAAGTTTCAGACAGTGCCACCAAGTTATGGTTTAGTGAAGATACATAAAAATTATATGAACCAAGTTAGAACTGAAAGGTTATCTTTCTTACAGCAAGAAGTTCCTAGAAAGTAAATAGGAACCAAGATAATGGTTAACAAGAGAATAAACTGCCTTGCTGCAATGTAAATTAAATAATACTTACAGATCACTAAGCAAGTTCAGTCACATATGAAGTTTTAGAGCAGATAGTAAGAAGAGGGAAGTTAATTAAATAATACTTACAGGTCAGATCTTGAGGGAAGTCAAAATCATAGTCATATGGCCCCCTTCTGATGCACAGTATGTAGACCACTATAAGTATGACGAGCAGAAGAAACCCAAACGATGCTCCAAGTGCAATCTTGCCAATTTTGTTCAACCCTCCTTTCTCCCAGAATAATGCACAAGCAGGTAAGGTAGGCACACCACACAGACCTTTATTACCTGAGAGGCTGCCAGAAAAATACATGTTGGTAGAAGACCAAAAATCAATACCACAAGTATATGTCAATCCTGTATTAACTAGCACAGTACATTATCTATCTGCTTACTCTCTGCACTCCTAAACTCCCTAATTTGGAGGAAAATGCTAAGAATAATAAATATATTCGAAATAAAGTTGCACAGTGCAGTTAATCTTTCATCCCCAGATAAAGTAAGCAAAGCCTTTGTCATACGTCTGATGGGACCCCCCAGCCTAGAGCTAACAGGCCGAGCAGGGCCCAAGGAGGGGCGCCGGACAGCCCTAGCGTGCCCTAGAGGGGCCACGCGCGCGCCAGGGAGGGGCGTCGTTGCCCTCGCCGCTGTCATCTTCCAGAATGAGTTATCGTAATAGAGTTTGGATAGTTACCATGTTAGAGTTTGGTTAGTTATGGAAGGGAGAATCCAATCTACAAGGATCTCTCATATAGTTGCTTGGGATACAAGTCCACTAGGGCTATAAATACAAGGGGATGTAATCAATCTAAGCAAGCAATAGAAGAGCGATTGCTCCTTCCCTACCTCTCCTCTCTCCCTCTTTGCGCCTGCCGCCCCTCTCCCTGCGCCGCCCTCTTCCTCACGCCACCCAAACCCTAGCCGCAGCCCTCCTGCTCCATAGCCGATGCCCCCTCTCCCAGGAGGACCCTTACACCTGGTATCCGGAGACCAGATCGATCCTTCGGGCAACACTCCAACCACGATCATGGAGAACCTCAGCACCAACATCCACAACATGACCAATCAGTGGAAGAAGATGTTTCATGACGAGTTCTTCGCTTGCCTCAACAACGGGTATGCTCCAATCACCAACTTCGGGGCTCCCACCGACGCCAACAGCAGCAGCAGCTCGCTGCTGCCCGGCGCAGCCGCGCCCTCGCTGCTTGCTGCACCCCGCAGCGGCCATGCATCCAGCCATGCCGCTGCCGGCCATCCCTGCAGCGGCCACGCCACCAAGCTTGTGGATAACGATGCCCACCCGAACAACATCGAGCGTGCACGCCCCAAGGTGGACGCAACAAACGACCACCTGGTATGCATCTTGTCTGACATATGGCGCCCAACAGTGGTACATACACCTCAAGGACAACGTGGTGACAGATCGCTACATCAACGAGCGATTCGACCCTCATACCTGCCGCAACCAATTGGCCGAGCTCGCATCCCTGCACAAGACCGACAGTGTCGACAACTACAAGGAGCGTTTCCTGGCGCACGTGCCACGCGCGGGATCCTTGAAGGAGCAGCAGCCGAACATGGAGATGACCATGTCCCTTGCTCGGACGTATGAGCGGCGAACAGCGGAGATCGCCGACACCAACAAGTCAGCGGCATCAAAGCCGTCCAACCGGGTGTTGCCTCTGAAGGCGCCACCTGCCGAGGAGACGACGAAACGCCGCCGAACAGGCCTATGCTTCAACTATGACGAGCCCTTCACCCGCGGCCACAAGTGCAGGCATCTCTTCGACATCACAGCCATCAACGACTACGACGCCGATGACGTCGACAACAACCTCCTCATGATGTTAGGTACGACGCAGTCCGCTGTTCGTGGCTGCCGCCCAATGTACCTTGTAGGAGCGGTGTTGAGTACCGGCGCCCACATACTGGTCGACACTGGCGCCACGCACGACGTCATCGACATCAACTTCGTTTGTCCCATCGACCTCCTCAAGAAGCGCATCAACACCATGACCCTCGTTGGCAGCGGCAACGAAGTGTCATGCCGGGTGGCATCCTCCAGCATCCCACTCTGCATTGACGTGGAGACCTCCCAGAGCAACGCGTTCCTCCTCGACATCGGCAACGACGTTGACACCATCCTGGGCACGCCTGGGTTGGCAGACCTTGACCGGGACTTCACCGCCATGGAGCTGCACTACTACCGCGACGGGAGCCCCATCTCCTTCACCACCGTCCTTCCTCGACGTACTCCGCAGACTGTCCTCGCCCTACCGGCGCCGCCGCCTATTACATTGGCACCACGGGAGCAGCCAACTCCACCATCGCCCCGCACCATCTTGAACAGGGCGAATCGAGCTCGCTGTCCTAACGCCCTCGACTACATCGACACCACCAACGTCATCTTCGGGCACCTGCGCCAAGCCATACATCAACAACGGAAGTTACGCAACGTCGCCATGGCTATCGTTGACGGCGTCACCGCCCCATCTTGGTCCATCGACCAGGGGCTGCTCTTCTTTGACGGTCGCCTCTACCTCCCAGCAACTTTGTCGCTCCTCCAGACCTTTTGCAGGTCCTTCGCCAAGGCGGCTCTGCAACCATGGAGCTCATAGCTCTCGGCGCCCACCCTCCCCTGACAACAGCGCAACCTAACGGGGTCCCTACAAGCATCTTGCTTGGACGCCCGTGGCTACAGGGGAGCACCATACCGTCAACAACGGTGGTCTTCATCGAGAACTTGAGCCGCCAGCTCATTCGCGTCGACAACGTCCACATCGCCCTACGCCCCGACTCCAACCTGCATCACCTTTCGCCAAGAGAGTTTGACTTGGGCCACTTCATGTTTGGCACCATGTTGGACTTGACGATGACTCCATCGACACGCTCCATCACCACGATTTGGTGCCACGTCCCCACCTACCTCACCCCCGACGCCGACAACCGCATCCACGACTTCGTCGCTCCACCAAGGGACATGCTGCACTTCACCTTTGGGGCAGCCGTCACCCGGCCCCTCGTCGTCGCGCCTCGTCAGGCGACACGCGCCAGCACGGACACGGGAGCGCACAACTACTTCTACGGCTACATCGGCAACCTCCTCTACTACTTTGAGTTTACACCAACACTCACTCGGGAGAGCATCATCCTCGCCGACCCCGTCCATGGCCGCATCTTCACCCACGTCGAGGCCAACTTGCTAGGACAAGCCTTCCCGCCCAACAGTGTCAACGACTGGGCACTACTTCGGCACAAGGACGCGCCGAGTGGAGAAGGGGGGGTGTCATACGTCTGATGGGACCCCCAGCCTAGAGCTAACAGGCCGAGCAGGGCCCAAGGAGGGGCGCCGGACAGCCCTAGAGTGCCCTAGAGGGGCCACGCGCGTGCCAGGGAGGGGCGCCGTCGCCCTCGCCGCCGTCATCTTCCAGAATGAGTTATCGTAATAGAGTTTGGATAGTTACCATGTTAGAGTTTGGTTAGTGAGTTTGGATAGTTACCATGTTAGAGTTTGGTTAGTTATGGAAGGGAGAATCCAATCTGTAAGGATCTCTCATATAGTTGCTTGGGATACAAGTCCACTAGGGACTATAAATACAAGGGGGATGTAATCAATCTAAGCAAGCAATAGAAGAGCGATTGCTTCTTCCCTACCTCTTCTCTCTCCCTCTCTGCGCCAGCCGCCCCTCTCCCTGTGCCGCTCTCTTCCTCACGCCGCCCAAACCCTAGCCGCAGCCCTCCTGCTCCATAGCCGCCGCCCCCTCTCCCAGGAGGACCCTTACAGCCTTGACCATCTATTCCTAAGAAATAGATTCTTTTATCACCCAATCAGTTCCTTTTTCAGGATTGGATAGATCGCAGTCAGACCTATATTGGTAAGCACATAATTTTGAAAATTTGGTCTACTCCACTCTGATAATATCATAATACATACATTACTCAACATGATAGAACCTAAACCCTTCATTCTTGGATCTGTTCAAGAGCCTGGCATAAAATAGACTAATGAATAATGACGATTCTCATCCTGAACATAGTAACTCTTTTTTAACCATATCTGACATCACAGGTAAGAAGTGGAAGTTTTGTTTACAAGACTTAGTAAGGATATATTACTCTATCACGCCACCATGCACGCCAATTGAGTAAAGTCTTTCTGGAACTTGCCCATCGAGTTGATTGTTGTTTAGTAATCTGCACGAGAAGCCCTAGCTAGTAAGTTTATACTGGTACATGCATACTCATATATTACTAAAGAACTGCTGAAACAGGTCATAAACAAATTAAATAGTAGCTTCAAAATGTACTTACGCAGTCTGTAACTTGGACGAACCTATGGTGCCAGGAATGCTTCCAGTAAACTCATTTGATGAAATATCCCTAAGAACACAATGAAACACTCATATCAAACAAGCTTATGATGTATAAGAGCACCAGGTTTTGTATAAGCACAAGAGTTACAAGATCATAGATAAATATTATTTAGGGAATTTAAAGATTTAAACATGGCTGAAATAGTAAATACAAGAGAATAATCATACGAAAACATGCACAACTCTTAAGCATATTTACTAATTCAATATTCTATTTACTTGTATAAAGTTGGTTAAGTGTAACAAATCATGATCTTGTATTCTTATGTCGAGCAGCCATTGTCCAGTTGTTTCAGCAACATGTATCTTGTATTCTTATTGTCTACAATAATGTTGCAGAAGAATGTTAACTGCAATGAAAGCACACCTTCATCTTATAAAATGGAATAATTTGTGTACTTACAGTGACACAAGTGAAGGTTGACCTAAACCAGGTGGTAAGCTTCCTGTCAGTGAATTATAGCTCAAATTCCTAACCAAACAGAAGATACCACATTAACAACCATGGCTGGATGCCTGGATTGCAAACTGTTAAGTAAAGAAATAAGCCAAAAGGGCATTTCCATAGACAAGAAAGAATTCATGGAAAATGTATGAGCATGTATGAAAAGTTGAAAGCTTGGAAATGTTAGTTTACTATTTAGATAATAATATATATTGAACATAACCTACTGTGAAGCAGGTCCATCAAAACAAGAAGGCAGTATGACAAATTCACAAAACAACTTACTTTTTCAAATCCTTTAGCATTTGTACTAATCGTTTGTAGAAATGGATATATACCATTCAAAGCAAAGAGTACAAAAGAATAGAATCTAGTATACATATGAACTAGAAACTGTTTTTGACCATAAATACAGCAGGGGAGGCCCCCACAGTAAGAATTTTATTGATAAGAAAAAAGGAACAACAAAAGAACTGAGCAAACGACTGTACAAAAAGGAAACAGACAATAGAAGAACTGTACAGATAAAAACTGTTGCCAGGACTACAGAGTACTAATGTTTTTTTTTTTGCTGTTCATAGAGCAAGACTGTATAAATATAGTTTATCCAAACATAGAAAAATAATAAGCCAGTCAGCGAGCTTAATCAGTTGAGATGTGATTAATCAATTGTGAGGGCCAGGGATCTGAAAACTTAGAGATGGAGAGACTATGAACCTATTCCCATAGGTTTGGACCCCATAATGGAAGCTTCAGAGCCATTCAATTTTGTGCCCAGGCCCTACTGCCCAACATTCCTGATCCACATGAAATGGCACGTTATTTTTGTTGAGAAACATCTTTCCATTTTAAGCGTGCTAGCAGCCTAGCACACATGAACAGCAACATAGCCATTCAGCTCATTCCAGTCATATTACCATGCATGCCCATGTCAAGGATTGTTATTCTGATATGGCAAGTGGAGCCGGCCCAGGGGCCCACGCGGCACTGTAACGCGTGAGCAGTGCCGTGTGAACAGTGTCCGGCAGATTAGATTAGATGGATTTGGTTTGTTAGGAAAGGAATAAGATAGATTGATTCGGTTAGGATATTACTTAGGGGTCAAGTAAGTTGTCTCTATAAAAGGGACCATCAAGAAGAAATCCTAAGATAGTCCCCTAGAGGAAGGGCGGCTATTTGGGGTCTCTCTGCTAATCTATCTATCCGTAGCCATTCCATAACATATTCATTCTCATTGTGTGGTCTACAGACTAAAACTTCTTGATATACTTTCCTGTTGTGACCACATGCACTTGATTTTATCTAACTTAAATTTTCAAATTTCATTCACTTCCACAGGTGATGTTCTGCACTGCTATTCTGTCAGAATTTTCATAACAATGCAAAACTAAAATGACACAAACTGCTATACAAAGATGATAATTTATTTATTTGATTTTCTCTTATATTAAAAAATACTCCTATAACAGAGCTAAACTAAGATGCACGTAATTGAAATCCGCCTGTAAGCTACGCTATCAACACAAAGTCAGGATTATATATATATGCAAAATAATCTAAATATCAAGGATGACCTGGGTCAAATTTGATTTCAACTGGTGTGTGAAATGATACTTACAAGCTTACCAAGTCTTTAAGATGACTTATTTCATCAGTGATGTAACCTTTTAGTCCTTGACTCGCCAGATCCCTATAGAGGGCAACAGCAACGTCATACAAGTCATAACCACAAGCATTTGGATCTTTCAACCCAGAGTAGTATATTAAGGGTCCACAGGCCCTTCCATTCAACTTCACATATTGATAGTGATACCGATGTACATAATTTATTACATTATAGACAAGACACTGGCAGCTACAAGCACTCAAATTAAACAATCGAAAGACCTGTTACTCAAGCAACCAAATTACAACTTCAATTATGCAGTAAGAAGTTTCAGTGCAAATGTGCAACTAATTCAAGTAGATAGGATTTTTCCAATATCTGCTTATCTGTTGAACATCTTTCCTTTCCGGTCAAAATCCCAAACACCAGAATCTATTCTATGAAAAATGCTCACTGTCACATTAGTGCACTTTTGTGACCAAAATGGAAGGCCAATAACCCCTAGATGACAGCCAGAAATGCTCACAATAAAACACATTGCAAGTAAAAACTGCATCTGGAGAAGAATGGTACTTACAGTTGTGTTATCACAAGCCCTTTGTCACCACGATGGCAAGTAACTCCCTCCCATGCATCCCACTCCCTCGGTGCACAAGGGTCACCATTCCAACCCATCCTCGCAGGAATTTTCAGCGACTCCTTCAACGCCTTCATTGCAGCCACTGCCAAAACCAACGCAAGAAGCTGAGAGGGCAGAGGTAGGGGGCAATTTTGCGGGTATCCTAATATTTCAACAGTCCAGCCAAAAATCTTCAGAATTGATCACCTTGGCTGGGCACCGTCCTCATCTCGAGTGGCACCATCGCATAATTCTCAAGCCCGCACAGAATCGGCCGTCCCACCACTGGCACAAGCTTGACGCTGAGCGTGGAGCTTGTCAGATTCTTGACAATGTAGGTCCACTTGAACGCCGTGAAGCCTCCGACCTGCTTGAAGATGTCGATCCTCGTCACGTTCTCCCCAGCCAGCACTACGTCGAACACCCTCTGGCCAGCTGAGCCGATCCCAGCATCGATCTCCGCGAAATGCAGCCAGACCATGTAGGACAGCCTGGTGTCCACGGGCATGGGGAACTCGATCTCATTGGTGGCGTCACCGCTCGTGGTGACCGCCGACTCGTACAGCTTGGTGGGGAAGTAGTTGGGCGGCTGGTTGCTGCCGAAAATCTTCCTCCCGCCCGCAGTAATGGCGTCGTAGCTGAGGTCGTTGTTCCGGAAATCGACGTCCGCCTGCCACACCCGCGAGAAGGCGTCGGCGTCCCTGGTGAACCCCGGGCCGAAGAGGCTGTTCCCGCAGGTGACGCGGCCGTAGTTGACGAGGATGAGGTCGGCCCCCGTGGTGGCGCCGTCGTAGGCGAGCGGGTGGACGGGGGCGACCTCGATGGAGGCGACGACGGGCGCGTCGGTGGAGAGCGAGTAGAAGCAGACGTCGGAGGCCGGCGCGGTGGCGGACGGGAAGATGAGGTCGGAGTAGGCCCCGTACCGCGCGGCCGGCTCGGGCCAGGGCGAGCGGAAGGAGAGCACGAGCGTGGCGGCGGCCGAGACGTCGAAGGACGGCGTCCGGAGCTTGGAGTCGTAGTTGTCGTAGACGGAGAAGAGGCGGAGGTAGTACCGGCCGGGGGGGAGGGGCAGCGAGTAGCAGGAGGACTTGCCCGCCGAGGACGGCGGGAAGAAGCGGAGCGTGCGCTCCTGCGGCTGCGGGAACCGGTGCGGCTCCGCCACCATGCCCGCGGCCCCGCCCGCCGAGAAGAACTGGTCCGCGAGCCATCGGCGGCCGAAGACGGAGGTGAAGTCCGCGGTGCCGCCGCAGTCGATGTTGTAGCTGTGGTTCGCTGCTGTGCGTGAGGGGGGACAGAGACGCCACCCACAGCGTTAGCATTTGCGCCGTTTGCATTGCGGCACTATTTGAATGAAACTCTGTTAAGGGGGGACCGAGCTAGGGAGCCTACCGCCGGAGAGGAAGGGGTCGTCGGAGGCGCGGGCGGCGGCGGCGCCGGCGAGGAGGAGCAGGAGCAGCGGGAGCAGCCGCATTGGGGGGGTCGATCCCGTGGTCGCAGCGACGAGGATTTTAGGGGTTTGGAGGAAAAATTTCTTCGCTGCCACCTGCGTTGGAGCGGAGCTTGGAAACAGGTGGTGGAGGAATAGTGGTGTGGTGGGGAAGGAAGGGGACGACGAGGTGAAGCGGGGAAGAATGTTGTTGTTGTGGATCTGATGGCGTACGCCGTACGGTGATCCGTGATCGGACGGCCGTGCGTGAGGGCGAGTGCACGCGGGGGAGGGAATCCGGAGCGGTGAGAAGCGGACAGGGAAGCGATGGGGTGACATTATTATTGAAGAACGGGGGTCGCGAACGAGACAGCTTTTTGACGCGCTAATTAGCCGCTCTCTCTTTCGATCCTCTCCTGTCTCCTCCCGTCTCCGTCTCAGCTCTCTGGATCAAGCTAGCTTTTGCATTGCATGCATGGAGAGCTCACGTGAGCTAGCGCTATAAAAAATGGCAAGCGGAGGTGATGAACACGCTGCCATCAGCATCTTGCACGGTACATCTGGTCTTGTTTCGAAACTAAGGGCACGTTTAGTTCCCAAAATTGTTTCAATTTGGCTACTGTAGCACTTTCGTTTGTGTTTGATAATTAGTGTTTAATTATAGATTAATTAGGTTTGAAAGTTTCGTCTCGCGATTTCTCACCCAACTGTGCAATTAATATTTTTTCGTCTACATTTAGTACTCCATGCATATGCAGTAAGATTCGATGTGACACTTTGAGGTGAAATTTTTTAAATCTAAACAGGCCCTAATTGCATGGATGAGCAGATTAGATGCGGCTACGGGTCATAGCCTCATAGGGACCTGGGTAGCAGTGAGTGAACAGAGGCACAGACGTTGTGGTGGATGTGGCCTGTGGGCGGGGCCTGAGCGATTAAAGCAAGAGAGCCGATCAGCCGAAATAATTGGTGCGGCGATGGACCCTCCTTCCTTGAAAACGTAACGAAATGGCCCACGCGACTTAGCTACTCAAGTGGGTCCCGACATTGGCGGTGTCACGGGGACCGACACCGCTACCCCAGCAGGCAAACACAACACTGTCGTTCTCCGTGGTTGGCAGCCACGGCAACCCAGCAGCCGAGCAGAGCAGAGCGGCGGCGGCGTTCCTGCATTTTATTTGTACCCTCGGATCGTGCGCCTTCGCCGCGTCCGAGAATTACCCGGGCAAGCCAGCCGCGACGTGCGCAGTGATGCGGGGCATGTCCGTGCCGCGCTCCAAGTGTCAACCAACCCCACCAGCGCAGCGGCCGTCCAGAGGGAAGCCCCTTCTTTCTCCCAAGTTTGACTTCAGGGCGTACACCAAGCATTCTCTCCTGGACTTCTCCAATCCCGTGCATCCAGGTTACACAGCAAGGCCTATGTTGTACTCCCTCCGGCTCAAAAAAATATGCGACTATAAGTTACGTGTCAGATAAAATTGTTAATGTTTAACCAAATTTTTAGTACATAATATTTATATGACTCCAAATTAATTTATTATAAAAATATATTTCATATTTGATCTAATGATATTTAATCGATATATTATAAATATTTATAGTTTTTTATTCATAATTGGTCGAACATGATATACTAAAACATAGTACAGTGTGCTGGAATTGCATGCTGAGTACCGAGCACTTGATACATTCGGGAAGGCCGCACCAACGCTACTGCATGTTGCTCCGCAGCCATGCCAGCCAAGAACTCCCAGCTCAGAGTACAAGATCCAGCTATTCAAGCGGTACACCTGTGAATTCAGGTATTGCCTGGTGCGTGCCAGATTCAGATCAGTAGTATATATAGCATGCCTTACTAATGTTGCACGCCTTACGCACAAGAAGAAAGCAATAGCCTCTATTGGTACCTAGAGTAGCTATACCCCTGTCTACCAGAAATCAAACCTTTTGGTTCACATCACGCGTGTATCAATAAGGCCATCTCTAGTGGCATGGCAAAAGCGGCTCATGAGTCCTAGTTGGACCGCGATAAATCGAATCATAACTATCCCACTGCATTAATCGACTTATAGGAGAGAGAATTAGGTTGTAGCTTATAGGAAAGAATTCGACTCATATTCTTGCATCGGTTATGTCGTGGTTAAAAAAGCCAGATTGGATGGAGCTCATGCAAAAAGTAGATATTGGCAAAGACAATCAAGGCCTTGTTTAGTTGGAGAAATTTGTATTTTGGGGCTACTGTAGCACGTTCGTTTTTTTTTGGCAAATAGTGTTCAAACAAGGACTAATTAGGCTCAAAACGTTCGTCTCGCAATTTCCCACCAAACTGTGCAATTAGTTTTTCTTTTCGTCTACATTTAATACTCCATGCATATGCCGCAAACATTCGATGTGACAGGTACTGTAGCAACTTTTTAAAAGCTAAGGTAAAACTAAACAAGGGCCAAGTGAGAGGCTTGCAGTTTTTTTATTCATATATGCAGCGGTTACAGGAAGGAGTCAAACCAAAGAACGTACCTGTGTTAGCTTTTTTTTCGTGGTGAACCGACTCAGCTCGCGCGTCGGCTCACACGTCGCTTCGTTGTTTGTCTCCGAGCACATTTAGTTTTTTTTTTAAGTAAGAGCCTTTTGATAGGTTTCTGCAGGGGCTTCAGCTCCGGCTTCTGCAGGAGCTATGCCAAATGTCTGTTTTGGAAAGGGTTTCGTATGGGGAGCCGGTCAAGAGCCGGAGCCATTTTTTGCCTGCGCATAAGGGTGAAAACGGTACGGATATTTTCCGACCGTATTCGAGACCGAATCCGTTTAGAGGAGTTCAAATATGTCCGTATCCGAGTCCGGATATTCAACATCTGATACCGTATCCGTATCCAAATAATCAAATCGCATATTTATGATGTCGATATCCAATCGTATCATATCCGTCATGGTTGACAATATCCGTATTCTAATCCGAATCCGGACAGAAATATGAAAACAAATGTAATATCAGTGATATCCGTTCGTATCCGATCCGTTTTCATCCATACCTGCGCAAGAGAAGCCTAAAAAACGAGCTTCGCGCGGCTCCTTGCTGTGGGTTCACGTCGTCTAGTGCGAAGGAGTCGTTTTGCCAAACGTTTTCCAGAATGGTTTCAGCTCCTCCAGAGGAGCTGCTCCTTCAGAGGAGCCAGAGCCCTGCCAAACAGGCCCTAAGTCATAACAACTTGTGTTTCACCGTCTAACGGTGCCTTTATTCGTGTTTAACCCCATCACTCATGCCATCTCGCTGTGATGTGATGTCGGTCGTATAAACCCTCTAACTTCTTAATAAAACACGTGCTATGCACATTCTTGAAAAAAAACCCGACTCGACTCTCTTTCAAATTATGTATCAAACCTTCTTTCCAGTGATAGGCGTTGAGCCTATTGATAATAAGTCGCACATGATAATTTGTAACGAGCCTGTTTGGGCTCTACTCCTATATCTCTGATTATGTTTCTTAATTCTCAAGTGGAGTGATTCTACTTAATTCGGGTAGGAGAGCATGTGAGAATTGACTCTAGAGTGATTTTAGTGGTGTTGGGTATCGATATTAGGAATACCCAAAGCAAGGAAGTTAGCCGGATGGCTCAATACATATTAAAAGGTCTCGCCCGACCCCAAGGCCGCTGGCTCCGTCCCATCCGACCTCAAGGCCGTGGGCTCCGTCTCGCCCCTTGGATGCAAGCTCCGTCTCGCCCGACCCCTTGGGTACGGGCTCCGTCTCATCCGACTCTAAGGACATGGTTTTCGTCTCGCCCGACCCTAAGGACACATGTTCCGTCTCGCCCGATCCCTTGGGTGCGGGCTCCGTCTCGCCTAAGGTCGCGGGCTCCGTCTTGCCCGACCTCGAGAACGTGGTTTCTGTCTGGTTCGATGGGGACCCATATCGCCGCCAACCACTCCAGGTCCAAGCGTATGGGCCTGGGTCAAAACTCTGACGCCAGGAAAGAGGCTCGCACGCCTCAATGTAACCCGTGGCCATGACGGGCCATACATGGGGATTCACATAATAACAGTATCGGACGTGCCGGTGCTGCTCTGCCTAAACCTCGTACGGACGCTGACAGGCGCATCAGTTCATCACGACGTTCGTCGGGACGGAGTGGAATGCCATGACTGGCAGATGATGCCTGCGCATGGCGCCAGTGACGAATAGGGCCGCGACATGGAGCTGTCCCTGTTGACATCTACAGGATCATCGGGACCCGCATGAAGGAGAAGAAGGACCCGGCCACCCTGGAAGCCTTTTCTCTCTCTCTCGTTCTTCTCATTTTCCTCCTCGGTAACCCGCACTTTCCCTTCGCCTATAAAAGGGGAAGCAGGGCGCCCCTACCTGAGCAGAAAGAAACACAAGAGCACGTCACGAGCACACGGCTAAGTGGCAATTGAGCTCTCAGCACCTGTTCACTCCTTCCACCAGAGACTTGGGATCCTTTTCCTCTCTCGCCTGTTTGTAACCCCTACTGCAAACCAAGTGCTGGTAACACAGCAGCAGCGAACTGGACGTAGGAACGTTCCGCGCGAACTAGTATAAATCCTTGTGTCCTTGAAGCACACCATCCGAGCCAGACGCGTAAATATAAATTTACTCGTCGGTGGTCAAAAACACCGACAAGTGGGTTTTGAATATGGACTAGTGGGAGCAAGTTTTTTTTCTCCCACCTCCAAGTGTAAAATAGAGAAGTGATTTTTGTATGCTCTCCAGCTGAATCTGTGTGATATTTAGTTGTTCGGCTGGAAAGGAGTGATCTTCATATAGAATGTGCTCCAAAGAGTCCTGCTAAACAGCCCCCAACAGTAAGATTCGTCAGTCTGTCACTCTTAAGTGTAAATAGTTAGAGATGTATGTGTTTCTAAGAAGAAAAGATAAGCACGCACCGGAGCAACCAGTACTTTCAAGTAGTCACGTTTCATGAATACGGATGGAACGAAGGATGTAAAGACATGGACAGAGATTTTGCAACCATAGCATACCATTACTTGCGTTTTTTTAGATAATAGAAAAAAGTATCCGACTTCATCT